TGATAAAGGTGAAGCAACTGTACTGTCGCCCACAGTGGAAAAGACCTGCAAAGAAAAGGTCAAGGTTAATTTTAGCTACATAAGTTTTGATTAGTTGATTATTTTGTATGTGAAAGCAACAAAAACAACACTTCTGAATACCATTTTCTAAATCGTTGCTCTCTGTTTTATTTCCACAGAAAGAGCTTGGAGATCGGCAGTCAGAAAGTTTGGAAAAGGTTCGCCAGCTTCTGCCGCTGCCCAAGCAAACCCGCGATGTCATAACCTGTGAACCTCAGGGCTCGCTGATAGACACTAAGGGCAACAAGATCGCTGGCTTTGAGAAAGAGGTAAACGCTTTGCCACATTCCTTAACTGCTAGATGCAAAGTTAAATGTGTAGTTTCATTTTGATTTATTCTATACCTTCCAGTCGAACCAATACGTTATTTTTCAAAGTGAAATATCTTATTTGTATGATGTTTGTCATATTGCTCATGTTGTATCTAGAAAATTATTATTGTAAAATGGACGTAGGTTAAGCGGAAGAAGATGGATGGATGGATGGATGGATGGACATAGGTTACATTGTGTCACACTATGTAACCCGAGAGGTTTAGAGGAAGAAAAAAGTGCCTTGTAAAGACAAATGAATAAGTCACAGAAAAAGCAGAATGTAACTGTTCGCCTGAGTCCAGATTTGACAAACTTAAACGGTAAAAACTGCTGAAATGTTCCTTTCATTAACAAAAGTCCTGCTGGTCCATCAGGGTCTCCAAGTATCAACCAAACAGAAGATTTCTCCGTGGGATGTCTTTGAGGGTCTGAAACACTCAGCCCCTCTTTCCTGGGGCTGGTTTGGCACAGTGCGTGTGGACCGCAAGGTCACCAAATTTGAGGAGCAGCAGCGTTTTCTGCTTTATCACACCCACCTGAAGCCCAAACCCCGTAGCTATTACCTGGAGCCTCTCCCGCTGCCCCCTGAAGAGGAGGAGCCCCTGACACCAGTCTCCCAGGAACCAGAGAAGAAGATGATGGAGGCAGTGAAGCCAGAAAAGAATGTGCCCACTGTGCCCGCTGACTCAAACAAGAAAAAATCCAACAAGAAAAAGAAAACTCCTGCAAAAACAGAGGTCAGCTGTCTCTACACTTTATGCTTTTAGAATGATATGTTCGTACTGTCTGGTATATTTTATACTTTGATTTCAAATTGTTTTCCACATTTGAAAAGTAATTGATTTTTTCTCTATAGGACTATGGGAACCGTACACCAGGCGGCGTGAACTATGGGCCTAATATGCCACCAGAGCTGATGCCAAACCACCCATATAACAGACTACCCTACGGCCAACCGAACATAAGCATGTATACACAGAACCAGCCTCTACCTCCAGGTCAGTTCACAGGAGACGTCATTGCTCATCATTATTGCACACATTGATCCAGTAATCTTCAAGAACTTCCCTTCTTAAATATCGTCTGAAATTTTAGTTTATGTTTTGTTTTTTTGTCAGGAGGTCCAGGTTTAGAACCTCCATACAGACCTAACCGCACCCCACAGATGAACAAAATGATGAACCCTCGGCCCAGCTATCAAGGCATGATGCCTGGAATGCAGGGGAGCATGCCTGGTATGATGGGACTGGACAAGCAGTACCAAATGGGATATAAACCCCAGCCAAGCATGCCACAGGGCCAGATACTGCGACACCAACTACAGGTCAGACTGGTGAGTCAGTCCACCCTGACAGATCAAGCAACATCTTCTAGTCAAGTTCAGTTGAGGAAATTTGTATCTTATAATCTAGAGCAGTATCAGGATTGTTGATTGATTGCTGTTTAGGTTCAGAGTCTGCTTAAATTCATTACGATGAGTCCTCTCTTACTGCTGGCAGAAGACATTGCAATTTTGCTATTTGCTGACTTTTCCTTCTGTTCTCAGAATCAGAGCATCATGGGGCAACAGATTAGACAAATAACACCCAACCAACCATACACTTCAATGCAGGCGTCTCAGGTAAGTTTGTCTTTTATTTAATGAAGAAGTTGATTTGTCACCGGACCTATCTATTCTTAGGAAATATGCAGTCTTACACATGTATTTATAAACACACAGCTGTTTTAAACAGGATGGCAGTATTATCAGATAATTTTCTAAATGTTTGCCATCCTCACAAAAAGACCCGTAACTTTCAGCATTTACACCTAGACAGCTTCCTGGTCTTGTTCACTACATCAATAGACACAAACATTATCAATAAATCAATAATGGTCTCCTTCTCTGTCTTCTTTTATTGTAATTGTTTGTTCAGAACATATCTCAGGGCTATACCACATACGGATCACACATGGGCATGCAGCAGCATCCGTCCCAAGGTGGTGGTATAGGTCCTTCCTCCTATGGGAACCAAAACTTCCAGGGCACTCATCCTGGAGCCAACCCGGCTGTGGTGGATCCTCTGAGGCAAATGCAGCAGAAGCCGAGTGGTTACGTTCACCAGCATGCTCCAGGATACGCACACAATATGCAGAACACGCAGAGGTCAGTACTGTATTGAAGCAAAAGCGGTTGCTTTTGCATTGCAAGCTTTTCTCTTTGATTTTATGGTAGTTACATTAATACCTGCGCTGATTTTCATTTTTATTTTTTTTCTTCTTGTCCTCTAAACCTCAGGTTTGCCCACCAGCCCATTCAACAGAATCCCATAATGCATGGTCACGGTCACATGGGAGGTCAGGGTGTTCATCCAGGTTTGAGGCCCAATCAGATGTTGGCAGAACAACAACAACAACAGCAGCAGCAACAAGCAGCACAGCAACAGCAGCAGTACCTCAGACAACAAGCACTCAGAGTATGTCACTGATCATTAATTCATCAAGTTTCTAGCTATGATTTCTTTGAATTTATTTATTGACATTAAGTAACTTTAAGTGATTTTTTTTTTGTTTCGTTTTTAATAACTGGAATTTTCTTTAAGGCACGAAAAAGGTAATTCTGGCAAATCAATGTTTGTACTCACACAAGTCAGGCTGCTAAACATGATAACGTACTGGAAATTCAGGTTGTTTTGTGTTTCCTTTTAAGCAGAAGTCTTCAGGGCTAAACATCAGCATATGACAACCTCAAAGCTGCCGCTAGAAGTGAATGGAAAGAGATGCAGATCGTACAAACTGCCCCTGCTTCAGCCACTTAGAGCAGCCATCTTTACTGCCATTGTTAGTGCTTTATAAATCACAGTGTGAAGGCTGCAAGAATGAATTGGGTGAGCTAATGCAAAACTTAATGTTTCGATATTTGGCCAGCAAAAGCATAATCGGCTCAAAAAACAGGCTTGTTTGAGATGAACTGTGCCTCACCTGAAATAAACACTAACCACAGCAGACAGCAACACTGGGTTAAAAATCAGCTGTTAAATCCGACAGTTTCCATCAGCAGCAGCCCTCAGTCTGCACAGGAGGTCATAAAGACTCAGACTGAGAAGTTCAGGCCTTCTTTCAGCTCTTTCAGTGCCTTTTTGAAATTAAAATGTTATAAGACGTGTAACCTTCTGTTATCACTTTTTTGTTTTCTGCAACAGCAGCAGGCCCAACAAGTTCAACAACAACAGCAGCAGCAGCAGCAGCAACAGGTCCAACCCCAGCAAGTTCCTCCTCAACAGCAAGTTCCACAGCAGCAACAGCAGCAGGTGTCGGCGGTGCCTCCACCGGGGCAGGCACAGAACCAGGGCCTGAGCATGCAGCCGCTGCCGCCACAGCAACCCATGGTAGGTCCGAACCAGGTGAGACCAAACCAGTAGTCCAGTGATTTACAGGATATATGTATAATGAGACCTGTGTTTATTGATTCATGCTAGCAAGTGTTTGTAGAAGCAATAGATTTCTATATGTGACACTATGTGGCTGTCCAGTGTAAACCATACGTGAGATAAACTGAAGGGACAATGAGAAAAATGTACTTCTCTTTCAGCTAAATGACTGATTTAAACACCCACAGGATTATCTGAAAAATGGGGGTTAAAAAAAAAAAAAAGAAAGAAGCTAACACAGATTCCTTTCTTCACTCTATTGGTCATTTTGTGATAATTTTGGAAACTCCTTTTTGGTGCGCTTGAGGATTCCAAGAGTTCAGTCATTTTCTCAATGTTTACCGTTTTAATAGAAGCAAATGACGTAAGTCATTAGTCATTTTCAGAAAATGTATCTTTGTCATCAGATGTGGATATTTCCAACAACAGCTTTTAACTAAAATGCTTTTTGTTGGCCACCTCTCACGTTCTTGACATTGGTGCTTCTGAAAGGCATCACTTAAAGGCTTTAATGTGATTGAAACAAACATTACTACTCAAAAAATCTAGACAAAGGTTATCACTGTAGTTGATTACTTGCTTTAAAAATGTTTTAAACCTTTTGGATTGTGATTGTGTTTGAAATGTTTGTGTGAGAGTGTTGATTAGAGTGTACATGCAAAACATCCATTACATAGAAACCATTAAAAACCGCTGTAAATACTGTGTTTTTAGTTCCCACGACAGGGAATGCAGCAGACTCAGCAGCAGCAACAGACTGCAGCTCTGGTCAGACAGCTGCAACAACAACTTTCAAGTAAGTCAGAAACATGTTTTAGTGGCTTCCCTCCCCCCAAATTTACAATGTATGTTTCTGTTGTCATTGTTTTTGGGTTACAAGTTTATAATTAACCCCCCCCCCCCCCCCTTTTTTTTTTTTTTTTTCTCCCCAGATACACAACCTGGACAGGGCACCAATTCATATTACTGATCGTGCTTGTTGACAGCAGAATGCAGAGAATAGGTCCTCATTTTGTGGAGAGGCCCAGCTCTGTAGATTGGCAAATGAATGTGTCCAGTCCCAGAAGGCGGTTAGGAGGGAAGACTGTTCAAGGCACAAAGGACCACCAAACAGACGAACCAAATCCCAGCTTGACCACTGAGGCAACGATCTGAAAATATTTTGACTTCGGTTGTGTAATTATGGATTATCAAAGGAGGGATCCTGATCTGAAGTAAAACACATAATGGTTAATGATGGAAAAGTCTATGTACAAAAACAACAAAAACAACAAAAAAATACCACAAATTATAAGAATAATGCAATTTTTTTATTTTATTTCAATTTGTACAATTTTTTCAGTTTCGTGTATTTCTCATTAAAAATCATGTCAGTTTTTATGTCTTGTACTTTGTGTCGGCTGCCTCTAACCTGTCAGTGAAAGCTTTGACCTTTCACTGTTTTTTTTTTTTTTTTTTTTTTCTTCAGTTCTGGGGAACAAATGCATCAGTAGGAAGAATTTATATTACAATGTTGGCTATGACTGTATGGAAATCCCACTATGATGGATAGCAGTCGATGAGTTTATATTAACACAGGTTGGGACAACTTTTACAGGGCAGTGTTACTGAGTAAAAATAATGTCTGACACTTAACAGCAGACATTTTGACTCAGAAAAAGCCCAGGTGTTGCTAATGTTCAAGGGTCCTTGTAATATGCGAAAGAGCCAATCGCCAACAACCAGCAGCTAAATGGAATTCATCACTTAATCTGTTCACACCTGTGATTCCTCTACGACATGTCAGAAAGTGAAAAAAACCTACTGGTGTTTGGAACAGGTGTAACGCTGAAGTGTGCATCCTCAGTGTAGGAAAATTACTGGTATGTGAAAATAACAAGTGTCTCTGAAATGATGCTTTAAAATTCAGCCCATTAATACTCACGTAGTGTTTAATTTTACATTACGTTATACCTGCAAATCAGTGGTGCTTCAGACTCTGCAGGGGGCATTTATGTAATGCGAGTATGTGGGGAACAGCCCTTCAATAATTTCAATGCAAAGTTCACAAAAGACTAACAGCAACATTTTAAGGCCCTGTATACCCACACAGGTGTTCTCATTTGTTCTAGTTTGACTTGTACTTACGTTGATGTCTCACTAAGCTGTACTTGGATTAAATAGTTTTCACAGCAGACTGTTTGGCATGCCACTGTAGTTCAAGTATGTGAGTAATAGGCACCAAATATGACAGCATTCCATTTAAATGTGTGTAATGTTTTCTGCCTTAGTTTACAGAAATACTTATCTCGGTATGGCCAAGTGCAATATCCAAAAGGCGTTGGCTAAAATTTCTTGAACAATGAAAAAATGTGTCGTAAGATACCCTGATAAATGAAGCATTGTGGTGTAACAGAGATGCCCCATGTTCAAAAATCTTATGCTCCATATGGAAGAGAACAGTTACTATTTCAGCCCAGACTGCAGCAAAAATCGTGTCATTTAATATGTTTGTTAGGAAAAAATGAAAAAACTACCCCTTGCACTAAATTCATGAATAATATTGCCACATCTGTCAAAAGTTATCATTATGACTTTTTATTCTGTCTTTCAGCTCTAGTCCGTACACCTAAGAGTTCTGAAGAGATTATGTGACACTTTTTATTTCAAATTTGCTGACTTTTTTGTTTTCTTAGGTTTTTGTTTATCTCCTTTTTGACTTTCCAAGCGACTAAACAGCACTCCAGAGTCAGATCCTAGTGCTCTCCCTTCAAAGGGACAGTCCATTCCAGCATATCTCGGCAGGAAGTTGAGAGCGGCCCAGCTCCTCTCGCTTGGTCGCACCCCGAGTCTGGACAGCAGCCGGTCAGAAATCTCTGGCACTATCGGCTGGAGGAGTGTGCCATAAATCCTCAGACATTCAAGTGAGACGTGGATGACTGTGTCTAGCCAGCGCTGGTCTTTGCTGTCCCTCCTATCCAGCTTCCAAGGTGTGTGGCGCTGAACAAACCCATTGGTCTGCCTCACGCAGGCACTGATGGCCTCCAGAGCTTTGTATACATTCAGGTTCTCAAAGTGCATCTCTACCACAGCTGGTAGAACTTTCACAGCATCCAACATGTGGTAGTCTTCAACCACAGCTCTGCCTCCCTGTTCTGTGGGGAAGGACTGAGGGCAGAAGGAGGGATAGACCTGAGTTGGGTTGAGAGCTGGAGCTGTGCAGCGGTTCAGCAGACCACCCAGAGTGTCAGCGAGCTCTGCGTTGAGCAGCTTCATAACTTTATCGTCTGTGTAATCACAGTCTGAGTCTGGGACACCCTGACGCAGGAGAAAATACCTCATACCATCGGTTGTGAACATCTGTGAGCGTTCAAGAGGATCTACCACATTACCTAAACTTTTAGACATCTTTTTTCCTTCTACTGTCCAGTGGGAGTGCACATGTATCACCTGAGGCAGCGGCAGTCCGGCTCCTAGAAGAAAAGCCGGCCAGTAGATGGCATGAAATTTTAAGATGTCCTTTCCTATAACATGGTGGGCCACATGCCACCATTGGTCATGTTTATCTGGGTAGCCAGCTACTGTGAGATAGTTCACGAGGGCATCTAGCCACACATAGATGGTTTGTTCAGCATCTCCCGGAACTGAGATACCCCACTGAAGACGACTTCTCTGACGGGACACTGAGAGGTCAGGAAGGTCTTCCTGCAACCACTGGAGAACAGCCTGGTGGAAACGCTCAGGCTGCACAGCCCGAGGATTCCCTCTAAGCCAGTCAAGCAGCTGAGTCCGAAACACAGACAGACGAAACATGTAGTTTTCCTCTTTCATCCACTCCACCTGCAAAATAGCGGAGAGAGGATCTGTTAGTGAAGCTTTGTTGGTGGAGTGAAAAGTTAAAGATTAGAAATTAGAAAACAGCTGTCCAAAATTACTAACTGCTCTAGAGTCTGCTGTGTGCTGTATCTCAGCTTGTAAAAGCACAACCTGTTTTCATACTGCAGTGCTGGTGTAGATTTAAGCCACAAGATACAACGCGTTTTAGAGGAAGAGGTTGACCTCACTATTGAACTCTTGACAAGAAAATAATTTGTATCTTCCAAAATACTCTAAGGATTTAGTATACCACTTCTATAAATTAGGGGGACTGGTCAAGATCAAAGGATCTTGGATATCCTAATTTTTTAACCCAAAAATATTGGGTCTAACATTCCTCTTACTGCAACTAAATAATACCCTTCTGTGAGGCCCTCCCTGAACATGAAACAAACATATCTTTGCAATTTCATGTTGCTAATCTTAAGACTGACAAACTCAAGTGTTCATAATTTCTCTAAGCTCCTCCAGAGCAGCAGAAGATACAGCTGTTTTCACAAGCTGAACAGTATTCCTTTTCAGTATTCAAGTCATCTTTAGGTGCAAAAGAGCTAGAGTGATGCTTTAAAGTTTGCACTCAATCAGGTATGACCGGAATTACCTTGTGTCCACTCTCCAGCGACACTTTGATCTCCTTCCCCGATGAGTCCAGAGAATCACCGACCTGCGACGGCATGAGGAAACTTTCATCTTGTGTGGAGTACCAGCCCTCATAACTCCCTTTGTAGATGAGCCCTTTACTCTGGAGCTCCGACCAGAAATGCTCCACGGCCTGACGGTGCCTCTGCTGAGTGGTTCTGATGTAGTCTGTGTATGATATGCTGCAGCTGCTGAAGAGATGTTTGAATCGCTCAGACACTTCAGTGCAGAAGGTCAGAGGATCTTTTCCTGCAGCTTCGGCAGCTTGTTGGATTTTCAAGCCATGTTCATCAGTGCCTGAGATGCAGAATTGTACAATGTATGGTTATTTTTTCAGTCTATGAAATGACAAAAATAAAAATAGGAAAAAAGTCTCCTCAAGATTAAGTAATTATTTGTCTTGATTTGTCTCACAAAATCCCTAAATTTTGCAATTAAGAAACTCTGAACTGAAGCTATTAGTGGATTACAGAATTGTTTTATCAAAGCAATTATTATTTTTGCAAAAGTGCAATCTCATTTTTACGGATACATACAATAAAAACACTGATGGTTACAAAAAGCTGAACTCCCAGATCGTACATATCACATACAACCGCTGGCAAAGTGAAGATTTACCTGTTGCAAACTTTGAGTTGAATCCCTGAAGTGCTTTATACCTGTGTAAGCAGTCAGCTATCACAGCTGAATACAGATGACCTAAATGCGGAGAAGCGTTGACATAGAAGATCGGGGTGGTTATATAGAAACTCCTGTCGTCTTTGCACAGCTGGGTGCTCATGAATCTCAAAGCGAAGATGCTCTGAGGTTTCCGTAGAGCTGGGAATGGGGATAGAAACTGTCTTTGTTGGAGTCTGAGAGCACTTCTGCAGGCTCCGGTGACAAAAATAAATGGCAACCTCATCGCAGGACACCAGGCTATACCCACGTGAAGACCACGAAACGATATTTAATCCAAGCAGCGGAGGGAAGCGCTAACGTTGGTCATACATTTCTTCTATCAAAAGGTTGAAACAGACTTTCGCTTAAAACAGTCAACTGGAAAAACGGTACCACTGTATGAAAATTACATTACGGATCTTGGACTAGTCCTGTTAAATAATTTCAATGGAACTGTAACAAATCACCTAATTTTAAGCTGTTTTTGTGAGCCTGCAGCCCATGTGTTTACCTAGCTTGTCAAGGTTAGCACTTCTTCCGGACTCTATGATCGACAACCACTCGTCCAATCACAACGCTGCATTGTGAACACAAACCACCAATCAGATTGCAAGCACTCTCTTCGCAAAGTTATGCAGAAGCTACTAGGTTTGTTCCTTTCTCTCTTTTTTCCAGATGTTAAAGCTTTCTTACTATCAAGTTTTAAATTACATGACCAGCAAAATGTTTTCAGATGTATTGGGAGGCATCCTCTATTTTTCAAATAACTTCATTGAGTCTTAGAATAAGTATTGGTACTGCATATAGACTGTACAGTATCATCTACTCTTGTTTTTACACAAAGACTAAAACAAATCACATGTTCTTTTCTTCCCCACTTGACTGAAGCTCCCAGTCCATTTGTTTTTATAAAGGGAATACATCGTTAGACAAACATATGCTTACATTTTTATTTTTAGTATTTTTTAAAGTGCAAAACAATCCACTGAAACAAGTGAGGCTGCTTATAGAGAAACGTCTGACAAACAGGAGAAAATATTACATTTGTTGGGATTTTGTGACTTGCAGATTTGGTACTCTCGTCCTGTAGAGCTTCCAACATGCACATTAAGCCAGAAGGGAAAACATTTTTGTTGCAAAAATGTAGATTTTTCTTCTTGGCTTTTAATTTATTTATTTTTTTTCCCATTTTTGTGGTTGTTGTTTTGTTTTCCAAATTAGATATTAAACACTTGAATGTCCTCGGTGCTTGTAATTAATTCAATACAGTAGCCATTTATCACTGAAATTGTTTTTTCATCAAGAAAATCAAATATTATGTCATTTCACCTTCACATTTTGTTTGCCTTGTCATTGATTTACTTCTTGTTTTTGTCTTACGTAATAGTTAACTCAACAACAGAATAATTAATGGTGAAAATAATAGCTATTTGCAGCCTTACCTATAGCTAACAACACAGAAAGAGGCTTCTGTTGCATAATAAGTACCCTCCAATTTTGATACGCTAACTACAAAGTTACGATAAATCTAATTTTGGTGTGTCCGTAAATAAGTAGAACAACACAAACAGATAGTTTGACAGGAACAAACAAGCAAAAGCCTCCGCCCACTTACGGTTTCCTAGACAACGACCAGGAAGTAGCGCGGTGACAGCCAACCAATCAGCTGCTCCGCTTCCCGCAGTCAGTTAACGGCGACGAATGGACCTGACGTGACAGCCGAGGTATAACATTTTACTAACTGTACCGTTAAGCGGCAGCTAAATAGTGTTTCAAACTTAACTAAAGCGAAAACAAGTTAAAGAGGTTTGTATTTGACCATTCCTCGGCATCGCTAGCCGTCTGTAAAGCTGGTTTAAAGTCGTCGCAGAGCGGAGAGTCGGCCCATCATGTGATTCTAAACATGGGGAGCCTGTTGCATGACTCGTTCAAAATGTCAGGATAGAAGTTCACATATTTTATAATTGTATACTCCATTTTGTGTCGTTTCAGATGGAAGTGAACCGTTTGGACTTTTACATCGGTCTCTCGCTGGCTGTGAGCTCCAGTGCGTTTATCGGCGCAAGTTTCATCCTGAAGAAGAAAGGCCTGCTGCGATTGGCCAGCAAGGGTTCGATGCGAGCAGGTGACGTGAGCTTTTATTAATAACAACTAAACTGTAGCAAACCTAAAAGTCAGTGGTGGAAGAAATACCGCACATTCTTGCGTAACTATAGGTAGCAAGAAACTGCTACAAACCATACTGAAAAACCTGTGTAGGCAGTATAGAAGTGTGATGAGTACCATGAAGGTAGAGTGGCAGACAGTTTATGTCACATTTAGAAGCGGCAGATGAGGCCTTGTCTTTACTGTGACCATTTAATTACTCCTGATGACGATTATTCTTGTTTTCATGAATGATAAATCTGCTGTTAAAATGCCATAATGTTCGACTTTCTTGCTTGGAACAATAATCCTAATGATACATGACTCAGACAAGTTAGTTAAGAGTCTTAAAGACACTGAAGTATCAAATACTTTGCTTTTAAAAATGCCAAGAAAAACAATCAAACTTTCAGTAAGATTTTTTGTTTTTTCCATTGTGATTTTTGGGGGTGCTGACATGCATGCTGAGAACCAAATCTGCAACTCAGAAATCCCCACTCCCATAATGAAACATTTTCTCTCCTGTGATAAGATGTTTTTTAAAAGCAGCATCCAGCTATGTCGGTGAATTGTTTTTCTTTTTTGTATATCTGTTTAGTGATGTGTTTCTTCTCTAAAAACAAATGGGCTTAGAGCTCCAGCCAGGTGGGGAAGAAAAGAACACTTTTTTTTGGTCTTTTGTAGGGATTTGTGGATGAAAAGCTAAAAGTAAATTAGATATGCATTAGCAATACCTGTAGTAACACTTGGTACCTGCAATATTTGTTTTGTTCAATCAAGCATCTAGATGTTAACTTCTAAAGTCCTTCTCGACTACATTTTAATGTCTCTAAAATCACTTAAGACACAGACAAGCATTAAATCTTTGAGAAACTGCAACTAGATAATTATTTTTCTGTGATTCACAGATTATCAACATGGATTTTAGTATTCTATCCTTGAACTAACTGATTAACTTATCATTGCTGCTCTATCATAGTCTGTTACATTATAGGGTTGTTACTGATGAACTGAAGTGTAAGCAACAGTTTACTGCTGTAGTAGGTTTATGTGATGCCAATTTCAAATACTTTATATACTTTTTTGCTGTGTAATCTATAGACAAGCCTCATATTTTATATGTTTCACAAGTATAATAATCCAAACAGAAACTAGTAACTGTAGCTTCATTTCCGCAAAGGAAAACCTGTCTCACAATACCAAAAGTGTACTTCAGCAGTTGTAGGAGTCAGAAGACCTGTGTAAATTTAACATTTAAATTTAATACCTTATTACAGCATGCAAACAAGAATGAATAAAGCTGTGGTAAAGGATGAGCTGCTGATGGAAGATAATAATCCTCCGACTTAAAATTAGCAGAGTTCATTCAAGTGAGGAGCCCCTAACTGCTACTATGACATCTAATCCAGTTATGCTTTTTTTTTTCTTTTTTCTTTTTTTATCTCCCAGGTCAAGGGGGGTATGCTTATCTGAAAGAATGGCTATGGTGGGCAGGACTGATCTCAAGTAAGTGAATGATTTACAGACTTAATTCTGCCATTAAAATGGGTGACATGGTCAGCTGTTACTTGGTTGCTCTGCTGCCCAGCCATGCCCACAAACACTGTGGTCTTTGTTTTTTTAAAGGAAAAATGAGGTTCTTGTGGGTTTGGTATTTTTGCGGATGACGTTGCAGTAAATGCAGCACCCACACCATATTGTTGAAGTACACATTCCTCTAAAGAGCACATTTGCACATGTGGGTTGGAAGAAAAAATATTTTTGTCACCGTTAAACCTAAGCAGCTGCCCCAGCTATTAGTATGTGCATACTGATTGCGATTCTGATGTGTTGTAGTGGGAGCCGGAGAAGCCGCTAACTTTGCTGCATATGCATTTGCACCAGCCACACTGGTGACTCCGCTTGGAGCACTGAGTGTGCTTGTCAGGTAATTGTCTTCAAGTTTTGTTTTTCTGCCAATTATGTTATTATGGCATGCTGGTAGTGTGATGCAGTAAAATTTGTGAAAATAATCCCAAATAAATACACTACTTTCTTTTATTTGAGCAGTATATAAACAATGTATAAAGAAGTACCCGTTCACTACGGATGAATGAACCCCAGTGAAGAAAAACTTCTTTCAATGGTTTTCATAACAACAAAAATAAGTTACACCTTTAAATATGTATGCGATGTTTTCTTCTTTCCCAGTGCTGTTCTCTCCTCTTACTTTCTGAATGAGAGGCTGAATGTGCATGGAAAGATTGGTTGTTTGCTGTGCGTCCTGGGCTCCACAGTGATGGTGATCCATGCACCGCAGGAAGAAGAGGTTGCCTCCCTCACTGCCATGGCTGAGAAGCTCAGAGACCCAGGTAGGACCCACACCTTCATTAGTGTGATGCGATTAACCACGCTGTGCAAACTGAATCCCAGATAAGGGTTGGCTGAATTTTTCTCAGGGTACTAACTCATTCTTGAATGCTCCCACTAGGTTTCATTGTGTTTGCTGTGTGCGTTGTGGGAAGCAGCCTGGTTCTTATCTTTGCTGTGGCTCCGCGGTTTGGACAGAAGAATGTGCTGGTCTACATCCTGATCTGCTCTGTGATTGGCTCCCTCTCTGTGTCTTGTGTCAAGGGCCTGGGCATTGGCATTAAGGAGCTGTTTGCTGGGACAGCAGTGCTGAAGGAACCGCTGTTCTGGTGCTTAGTCGTCTGCCTGGTAATCTGTGTCAGCGTTCAAATCAGCTACCTGAACAAAGCCCTTGACATTTTTAACACTTCTTTAGTTACTCCTATTTACTACGTCTTCTTCACCACATCTGTTATGGCCTGCTCTGCCATACTCTTCAAGGAATGGCTACGTATGACCACTGACGGAGTCGTGGGAACAATTAGCGGGTTCCTCACCATCATTTTGGGTATTTTCCTCCTCCATGCCTTCAAAGATATTGTATTTTCCTGGGATTCCCTGCCACTCTATCTGAGAAAGGGTCCTCTGGGCTTTACATGGGGCCACCAGCCATATGTGGCTCTTCCCAGCCACGACTTGCAAACAGAGGGTGAGATGAAGCTGCCCAGAGAAGGAGGCTCAAAGGGGGGGTGGGGTACACACCAGAGAGCTCCTTAAGGAGGACCAAAGTCTGTGACCACTTAGAAAGACTGCTTGTTGCAATTCTTAAGCTTTAATGCACGTCACAGCTTTACAATGTGACAAGTTTACTAAATTGGAATAGACAGTCTTAAACAATGCAGAATGCACTGGATGAACAAAGTTGCCTTAAAACGAGCATAAACACGCTATCAGTACTTTGGATTTTACTTTTAATGTACATTCTAAGTTGTGCCTGATAGTTCATACACATTTCTTTTCTTTGGTTAAAAAAAGATGACAGAATTTTTTGTAGTTTAATTTATATCAATGTGAATGTCTGTTACACTGTGTATCAAGTTTTTAAAAAATCATTGGTTATATTAGCCTACATACACCAAATTGTGCCTTCTGTTACGGAAAACGATAACCTCTTCACAGTTTTGCACTTTTAACTTTGATTGTACGTACAGATGAATTAACTGATTTGCAACCAGTGTTAAGGCAGAAACTTAAATTGCCCTGAATTCAAGTTTGAATAATTCCTCTGATGTTACCTCAGTATTATATACAAACTGCACCAAAGAATGTTCTTTCAGTGTATAAATTAATTCCCAACGTGCCAAGCTGTAACATATCTCTGATGTAAATGTACTTTTTTGTGTGTTTGATAATGCTGATTAAAACATAAGTATACAACATTATTTGATGAAGCTCTTCCAAAAGACAGGCACAATGATTTGGCATTTTGTTTATTGCATATGTACAGTCCAGAACCTTTAGCTGTTGATCATGCCAGACATTATTAGTTCTTTTAAATTACACCAGCGGGTAGCAAAGTCCTTGTGGCTGGCAAAAACTGCTGGCAAGCTGAATGCCCCAGATGCCAGATGGAACAAGCCCTCTGCAACTCCTGCACCTAACCTGTGAGTTACAGCAGTGAACGCTAATGCATTCAAGCTTAGTTTTACAGTTTGAGTGTTAAGTTATTTGAAATCAGTGACCTGACAAACAAAACCAACATAAGGTAACTGCTAGCAACAGATCACAGTCAAAGCATTTTGCGACACTCGTATTCCAACAGACCACACATAAAACCCAAGACTTGTACATGAGTCCAGATGATGTTCATTTCAGGCACTTGTATCAAAAGTAACATACGATGTTGTTCCTTTTCCCAGTTGATTGGACATTTCTTCGCCATACTGTACAGACAGCTGTGTCAGGACCAAATGGCCTCCTCTGTGAGCAGCGGTCCTGTGCTTGTGCCTCGTCAGTCCTTTCAGTGAGAGTTTTTAGTCTAACATGGTCTCAGAGAATGATCCCTTGCTCCTCTGAGTCTGTTCTAGTCGGTTTAGGATGAACTGGCTCGTGTCAATAAATCTCTCCACACAATTAACAAAGCACATTTCTGTCCTCGAGTCCAGCTTTGGCCCAGGTTTATCCATACATTTCTCCTGAAGAAAAAGACAGACCAATTTAGAAGAGAGGCAATAGATTATACAGATATATAGATCATCACATATAGCACATTCATGTGGTGTTGGAATAATTGAAAAAAAAAAAACAGTTCCTCAATGAAAAAATTTACACCACTGCCCCTTAAGTCTGAGGAACATTTCAGTCCACCATATTTCTGCATATACATCAACAACTCACCAAGTCATGCATAAAACTGTATGCTGACTTGCTGAGTAGTTAACATGATGGACAAAATAAATGTTTGGTTGATGGCAAGACTTTTTTGATCAATGTTTTAAATGAGTTCTGAACCATTAGTGAAAAATATGTAATTAAAGTCAGTCTTCAGTTCAATATCCAGTCTATATTAGAATTCAAATAGACATATTACAACATGGAACACCATGACTGTTACACTAGAAGATCAGCATGAATTTGTAAAACGACTGTTTAAACACAGGGTCACACATGCTACGTGGCATATATCTTAAATTGCAGCCTTGGATTTGTTAATTGCATTCTTTCAAATCATAATTCTTACTTGAAATCAGAAAATGGTTACTTTATTTCGTAATATGGTCGTAAGTGTTAGTTGCTGTCCATGTAAGGTGACTTAGATCAGTTAGATAAGTTACTTCTTAGCAGTAAGCCTGATAATAAATCAGGTTAAACAATATTTTAGCATTCTGAGCTAACAATGTGTTGTTTAAATAACAAAATACAGCTCATATTCCTCGTATTGTCCATGTTTATAGAGTCCAACTTGAGCACATAAACACAACACCATCAGAAAAATGACATCCCATCTCAGGAAACAGGAATATCTGAGCAGCACGTAAAAGCATGATGATTTTACGACAATAGGTACTGCTAATATAGTCAGAGATGTTACAAGGGAGAATCCTGGATAGAAACCTAAAGAACCCTGACACAGGTCCTGCCCCTCCCCAAAAAAGCCAATCATCTGCTTTGCAGCAGCCAAACCAGGAAACATCAAGCTAATCGCGCTGCTGCACCAACTCAGGTGTCTTGAAACTGTAGTTGAAGCGTAACTTGTGGGAAAAACATACTTATTTTTTTTAACCTTATTTTGGGGCTCACGGAAGTTTTTAACGCAAGTTTTTAGATCTGACTGGCAATTATATACATTTTGAGTCCAAATGAAATGAAATTGCAGTTATGGCTCTGTCTTCATTAATTTCAACAGATACATGGTCCAAAGTAACCGCCCCTGGACTACACCAAGATGGCTGCCAGGTGGAGAGACTTGCCTGTAACACCTTTATTCTAGTAGCGCGTGCTGTTGCCCCAGCTGTGACCTCAGCACGTCGCGCGTCACGTAACGTCCCAAAGACAAACATTTAAAGAAGTTGAATAGTTTCATTCTACCTGCAATCCAGCACCAGGTTGCGTCTGTAGGGGTATTTTCGTGATCTGACAGACTGCTACTTTCACTCTGGTATGACACAATTGTTTCCACACGATATAATTAATGTCTAAATTTAACTTTTTTGTTTGTTTTATACATATGGACGTTTCACTCCACTCATCTTGGGGGCGCTAGCTAGATCAGAACAGGGATAGTGGCCATAACAGTCTTTGGAAATATTAGTTGAAATAGTTTGTTTCGCAAACATTTTACAGTTACGGACAGCGAGCAGAGCCAGTTCTATGGTGATAAAACGCGTGGCTGAGTAACAGGTAAAAAATATATATATATATACCGTGTGATTTCTTTGGGTAAGGTTTGCATAAGGACCGATATGTGCCTCGGGGTGACTTACGGAGTTCTTCGGAAAAGCTATATGCAGCCCCGTGAATACACTTAGATGTAGGTATATGGCTACAGCAAACACAGCACGCATCTCTTACTTTTTATCGAAATAACCTAGCGACTAATTATTGGCTATTGACTGAATGACACACACACATACACACAAGGTGCAGGGCTGTGCTGCTAGCTTAAAGCTGATCTTACCCAGCAAACCTCAGTCATTTGATGCACCAGCTGCTGAAATCTTTGTTTCTGAGACTCGATTTCGATGAAGTGTTGAAGTTGAGGGTCAGCTGTCGCTCCCTGGCCGTCCATGTCTGCTAAAAATGGTGTCGTAAAAGCAATATTTTACTATTTATCGAAGTCGTGGGGGTTTATTGCTGACCTTCACGTGTGTATATGAACGACGGGAAACGGGAAGTAGCTCAGCCAATCAGGGGGCGCGTTTGTGTGACAACCGTTGTCGTCATGCACATGTGACCTTTCATAGCAGCCACAGCCACTTGATGTACATTAGTATGTGTCTGCAGAGCCGGAGGCAGCCACTTCTTCTTCGTGGAAGGGTTTTTATTTTTGTTATTTTAAATAAGGTTGTGTTGTTTAATTAAAAACTTTAAGATAATGCAAACTTGTGCTAAAGTACTGCAAGTACCACAAAACGACGCTGAAGTTAGCTTCTTATCTTACATGTACTGATCATCAGGATTTCTACATTTTAATGTTATAAGACAAGAGATGCCTTTATTTGTCTCACAGTGGAGAAATTCACAGTGTTGTAAAGCCCTGTTAGACATAATAAGAAAAAGCTTAATGCTGCCTAAACCCCACTTGTGGCAGCTTTGTTCTGTTTGCAAAATGGCAAAAGGGGGATTTTACTGCTTTTTCATGTAGACCACATATTTTCTCATAGAGATGAACGGTTTCACAAGCCAGAGACTGTGATATAAAGATGCTTTAGCCTCTGGTACAGATTTAACCAATCTATCGATCTATATAAAGTGATTTTTAGATCTGGACCTTCTATAATGTGGTCTACATTTAAAAAAAAACAAACTTACCTGACCATTGGAATCAAGTTTCACAAATTGAATAAATGTTTCACAGAAACTGTGTTTAAAAGTCTTTGCCTCTGTTTTTTTCTCTTTTTCTCTGTTTTTTTTTTTTTTTTGCTTTTTCACAAAATGAATACAGGTATCACAGATTATTAATTATATGATGAGTCTTTAGTTTCTGTAGGACAATCTATTTAAGCTATTTGATTTAATGTGTGGGCTGCAAGGGAGCTCGGTGGTTAGAATTGTTGCCTCGCAGCAAGAAGGTCGCCGGTTCGCATCCCGATGAGGACACCCGGGAGTTTGAAGGTTTTCCTGTGCAGCGTGGGTTCTCTCCAGGTTCTCTGGCTTCCTCCCAGAAGATCCAAATTGTCCGTAGGTGTGAATGTGGGTGTTCTTAGTTGTCTGTCTCTAATTGTAGCCCTGTGATAGACTGGTGACCTGTCCAGGGTGTCCCCTGCCTTCACCCTAAGTCAGCTGGGATAGACTCCAGCCCTCCCACGACCCCAGTGAGGATTAAGTGGTGTATAGATAATGGATGGATGGGATTTAATGTGTGCCACATACAAAACAAGCATTAAACTTTTTTCATTTTCACAAATTAAATAAAGGTTTCACAGGGAGGATACTGTAATTTAAAGAGCATTTAGTCTCTGTAGGACAGTCCAGTCCAAATTTGATCAATCTGTATTCATTGGTTTAAGACAGGGGTATTCAATTAAAAGTCACTGAGGTCCAGTTATTAAAATTTCCTCCAAGTAAAAGGTCCGAATGGAAGTCCAGTTTGTATCTTATAGCCTTCCCCTAAGGCCACATTTTCATGGTTTCAACAATACTTATTGTCATTTTTCAGTGCAGGATATGTGTAACTGAGTGCACAGTTAGCTTTTTTATCATATATATATATACATAAGTAGTCCCAGGCAAAAAAAATAAAAAATTGAAAAAAGCGCAACCAGAGCCGAATAACCTATTTATCTTTTAAATTAAAGAGGTCCCAGCCTAAAGAACTGAAGGCCTCCACTTCAAGTAAACAAGTCAACATCCTTAGAAAATATTAAATAAAAGGCTTTCTTTGCGGATAGATCTGTCATACAGGGCTTGCAGCTCGGTAATTTTGCGTGCCCTCAGCTGGGACATCAGGGGATAACTTTGCTGAGCTGTGCTTTGTCTCCTAGTGGTGCTACACGTTGCCATTTTTAATTAATGCCACGTTTTCAGAGCATATGAGGCGCACTGGTTGTGAACTGCCTGACGGAAGAATGAACATACACTTCTCCGTCCACTCATCTTCAAAGCAGCGGTTTTCCTCATCAATCTTCCTTCTCTCGGAGCATGCCATGCTGGCATCACCGTCTCTTCCGCTCTGCTCTGCTGTATACGCAACTCAAAGTCGCAGCGGCAGCGAGCTGTGGCGGTGCGCTGACCGTGCAGGGTAACCAAACAATTTGATTGGCTCGACCGAGTGGCGCTAATGCCGTACTAACTTGAATAGCTGTCTTCAGACGCGACTGTCGGAAAAAATGCTCCATGAAAATCTATTCTCGTGAATTTATCAAAGATTTGTCACGGGTCCGGACAGAACCATCGTCTACATCAAAAAATAGATAGATTTTTTATATTTTTTTTGCATTTTCATAAATATAGTAAATGTAAATGAAAGATTTGTAAATGAAAAATTAGTAAATGAAAAATTTGAAAGTGGGGTTTGGACACCATTTGGGTCCACCCAAACTGTCTAACATGGTATTACACTATCAAGTTGTGGGGGGAAATGGAAAACCATTGGCAAAAACTGAAGAGAATAACAAGTCTCTCAGCTGTTTTGACTGCCATTTTAATTTCACATGATGTGTTAGTTATTTCAAAGCCTGGTATACTTGGCTTTTATTTGTGCAATACATATGTCTTACAAAGCTTGTTTTCACATGCAAAGATGTCTACATTCCACAACGATTCCACAGAATAAAATACACACAACACAGTATAAACAGACACATTTTAAATCCAGTAACATTCAATAAAATATACATCTTTTAAATGCTAGTCTATTGCCCTGCACTTCCATTAATGTGGTGGGTCTAATTAATGAGTAACTGTTACATTCACTTTACACACATTCACATGAAAGAGAACCTAGATATGGTTGTTTAGCCCCACCTTCAGGCTGTTAACTATTTTAATGATTGTGTCCATTTTCCAGGGACATATGGAGATGGTGCTCTGTGGGAATAAGACCAAACTGATTATGATTCAGAGATCTACTGGAGCTCATAAAGCAAATCCTGTACAGTCAGCACCAGTTCCTGGAAAGTGGGTCTCTCCTCTGCTTTCTGAAAACAAAACAAAGAGAAACCAGAGATTGGCTCCAGAAAATATTTTTCATGTGTCATCATCAGTCTGTAGGTGAGTGAGACTCATAATGCAAGACAGATTTCACTTACATCCTGCCAGCAGTTTAACATAATGCTGTAGACCTTTTCATTGGCCAGCTGGGGGCGGTAGAGGCGCAGGCCCCGGGACACCTGCTCTACCATTTCCGTGTTGTTGAGGCGTTCGTATGGCAGCTTGCCCAAACTGTACACCTCCCACATTAAAACCCCTGATAAAGAATATACATATATAAACCATTAACATGTGAAGTGATTATGCTTTATAAAGATATGAAGTGATAATGTGTAAAGTCTTAACCACTAATTACTCTTATAATTGACCAGAAATGCATTAATAAATTGACAGTTAATCAAAGTCAACAGTATGTATCATATACTCAGCATGTTCATGCCAATCTGTTGATACGGTTCATTCTGTTTATACTGTATTATACTGTGCTAGGATATGTTATACTAGAACTAGTATTACTTCTACATCTTGGATAGTCATATATCTTGCATACTTATGCACACCGTTCATACTGGTAATACTGCTCATACTGTGTGTATCTCAGCACTTTCATACTTGCTCTTAATGCTGTTACACCAGACTTTTTTTTTTTTTTACATTGCACTGCACTTTTACTGATTCTTCTGCACTTCTGCTTCTTTTGCACTTCTTTTGCTAAACTGTACTTGCACACTGTGCAATGAGAATAACGTTGAATCTAGTATAATGCAATTAAATACTCACCATATGCCCAGATGTCTGACTTACTACTGAATTTACAGTAGAGAAGGACTTCAGGAGGTGACCAGCGGACAGGAAACTTTGAACCAGCTGAGCTTTTGTACTCATCGTCTAAAACATACCTGAGGACAGCGAAAGGTGATTCAAATATCAGACTCTATGAGCCATCAGTGTGCCCTCCATATGTTATAGCTTTATATTTTACCTTGATAGGCCAAAGTCAGTCACTTTGACGGTGCCATTTCCATCTACTAAGCAGTTCCTGGCAGCCTTTAGATAAAACAAACAACACTTTCAAGTTAAGCATAATCATTAAACTTCTAGTGTTCCCTTCGAATACCAAACCACAATGTGTCAACACAGTGATGTAGGACTGTGGAGATATTTGTTTTGCACCGACACACAGTAGATCTTTATCTCTCACCAGGTCTCTGTGGATGTACTGCTGTGACTCAAGATAGGCCATGCCCTCAGAGACGTCCTTGCACATCTCTAGGAGCTGGACGGCTGTCGGGTGCTGCGTCAGGCCCTCCTTGAGGTATGTCAGCAGGCAGCCATTTGAAAGGAACTCAGTCACTATATAAATGGGTCTCTGTTTGGTGCAGACGCCGTACAACTGGACCAGATTCTCATGGCGAAGCTTCCTGGTTTGAGCAATAGGAGAAGGAAGTTAAGTATTATGGTTTTCCTCAGAGAGGTGATAGGAACTACCCTTCTCAGTGTGACACATCAGTTTTTAGTCTCAGGCACAAAAACAACACAGTTTAGATATTCAGCTGGGGTCAGTGAGTGGACTAATAATCAATCTGGAGAGTCTGTTTAATCAAGATTCATTTAGTCGCACTTACATCATGATTTTGGCTTCTTCTATGAAATCGTCTTCAGACATGGATCCCTCTTTAATCATCTTAATGGCCACGTCATGCTTGCCCTGCCACTTTCCGTATTTTACCACCCCAAACTGACCAGTGCCCAACTCCTTGATGAAGGTGAGGTAGCGGGGGTCGATCTCCCACACGCCTGAATCGTCACAAGAAAACAGAGAAGCAATTTTATGCTTGCAGCAACCACAAAACCACTGCAAACAAAGTCTGACATTTTGGGGCATGTCTATATAGCTCTTGGCTGAAAGTTAGATGTGACAACTGATGCCACAGTCACAATAATAGAAAGCACAGTCATAGTCTTACCATAACCAAGCCCTGCTGTTGATGGAGGCCGTGCCCGGTTAGATACGATGTGTTTCAGCCTGCAAACCATACCTGATCAAAAA